GTAATATTGACCTCGTCCTCGATAATACGTTATTATATGGAGCTGATGAAGTAAGATCGACCTCGTCCTCGGTAATACGTTACTATATGGAGCTGATGAAGTAATATCGACCCCGTCCTCGGTAATACGTTATGATATGGAGCTGATGAAGTAATATTGACCTCGTCCTCGATAATACGTTATTATATGGAGCTGATGAAGTAATTTCGACCTCGTCCTCGGTAATACGTTATGATATGGAGCTGATGAATTAATATCGACCTCGTACTCGGTAATACGTTATTATATGGAGCTGATGAAGTAAGATCGACCTCGTCCTCGGTAATACGTTACTATATGGAGCTGATGAAGTAATATCGACCTCGTCCTCGGTAATACGTTATTACATGGAGAGCTGATGAAGTAATATCGACCTCTTCCTCGGTAATACGTTATTATATGGAGCTGATGAAGTAATATTGACCTCGTCCTCGGTTAGACGTTATTATATGGAGCTGATGAAGTAATATCGACCTCGTCCTCGGTAATACGTTATTATATGGAGAGCTGATGAAGTAATATCGACCTCTTCCTCGGTAATACGTAATTATATGGAGCTGATGAAGTAATACCGACCTCGTCCTCGGTAATACGTTATTATATGGGGCTGATGAAGTAATATCGACCTCGTACTCAGTAATACGTTATTATATGGAGTTGATGAAGTAATATCGACCTCGTCCTCAGTAATACGTTATTATATGGATCTGATGAAGTAATATCGACCTCGTCCTCGGTAATACGTTATTTTATGGAGCTGATGAAGTAATATCGACCTCGGCCTCGGTAATACGTTATTATATGGAGCTGTTGAAGTAATATCGACCTCGTCCTCGGTAATGCGTTATTATATGGAGCTGATGAAAGTAATATCGACCTCGTCCTCGGTAATACGTTAGTATATGGAGCTGAATGTGATAAAAAGATTAAGTCTTTCAGTCGCGGGTAATACGTTATTATATGGAGCTGATAAGGTAATATCGACCTCGTCCTCGGTAATACGTTAGTATATGGAGCTGATAAAGTAATATCGACCTCGTCCTAGGTAATACGTTATTATATGGAGCTGCTGAAGTAATATCGACCTCGTCCTCGATAAGACGTTATTATATGGAGCTGATAAAGTAATGTCGACCTCGTCCTCGGTAATACGTTAGTATATGGAGCTGATAAAGTAATATCGACCTTGTCCTCGGTAATACGTTATTATATGGAGATGATGAAGTAATATCGACCTCGTCCTCAGTAATACGTTATTATATGGAGATGATGAAGTAATATCGAACTCGTCAACGGTAATACGTTATTATATGGAGCTGATGAAGTAATATCGAACTCGTCAACGGTAATACGTTATTATATGGAGCTGATGAAGTAATATCGACCTCATCCTCGGTAAAACGTTATTATATGGAGAGCTGATGAAGTAATATCGACCTCGTCCTCAGTAATACGTTATTATATGGAGCTGATGAAGTAATATCGACCTCGTCCTCGGTAATACGTTATTATATGGAGAGCTGATGAAGTAATACCGACCTCGTTCTCGGTAATACGTCATTATATGGAGAGCTGATGAAGTAATATCGACCTCGTCCTCGGTAATACGTTATTATATGGAGCTGATGAAGTAATATCGACCTCGTCCTCGGTAATACGTTATTATATGGAGAGCTGATGAAGTAATATCGACCTCGTCCTCAGTAATACGTTATTATATGGAGCTGATGAAGCAATATCGACCTCGTCCTCGGTAATACGTTATTATATGGAGCTGATAAAGTAATATCGACCTCGTCCTCGGTAAAACGTTATTATATGGAGCTGATGAATTAATATCGTCCTCGGCCGATCAAATCCATCGACTTACGTTGAAGAAAAACAGGAAACTGTGACAAGTTTCAGATTTCTTTTTCATAAATTCCACTTCTTTCGAAAGAAGCCATTTTGCTCACCATACAGTTTATAATACAAACAAGATATGTTCGCTGTTTTTCTGTCCCGTTCCATTATCTCCTTGCTACATATATATGTGACGTCAAAATCAGACAGACAAATATTTGTATCAAACATTAACACAGTAGTGGAAATATATTTATACATTTTTATATGAATACGTTATTTACAATTGAATACATAATTATGCAGGAATGTTTTGAATACACTTAAATATGTTCATATGACCGTTCCTCATCCAACAGGGACATCTGAAACAAAGCGTGCAATGACATTACCGTACATACATAATCAGGGGAATCAAAATACATCTCTTAAGGCCCACTGCACTATATTTTTTCATTTCGAAAGTAAATCCCTTCCATTTTGTTTTAGATTTAACTGACGCCCATTTGGACAATGACATTCCAGTTGACTAGGTACAGCTCATTTGGTTTAAGCGATAGTGAAGGAATAACAACAAACCCGTGGTTCGAGTCGTCTGGTCTAGACACGGTGATTGTTGAGTCGTCTGGTCTAGACACGGTGATTGTTTAAGCTCAGAACGCTATTGTTGATAAATTTCAGCGTTATTTCAATTATGTGTGTGTTCATAAAAGACCCGCAATGTACGGCAGTGGAACAGGGATCGTTAAACCGACAGCGATCACAAGACATTTGTATCTTATTGATATCAATATTCCTTTCATTATTTAGTAGTTACAAACAAGTTCCCCTCATTATGAGAAACTGAATATATCTTTACATTGGTATATTTTGTGCCATCGATGATATAAATGTGACTCAAATTTTAAATATTCGTTTTACGTCAATACATGTTACCTTGTTGCTTTCATTGCTTTGATAATTAACTGTATACTATAAACTGTTAACCTATATTGTACCTCGATTGTCGGAACACTGTATTGTACCAAATTGTGAATAAGTGGACAAATATATTGTGTACCAAAATGTTAATAGTTGGACCACTGTATTATGCAAAAGTGTTCATAGTAAGATAACTGTACTATGCTCAAAAGTTCTTTGTTGGGCCACTGTATGGTATCATCCCATCGTTTGTTTTTGGAGCGCTGTATTGTACGTAGATTTTATAGTCCAACTACTTTATTGTACTAACATGTTAAAAGTTGGACAACTGTATTGTACCATAGTCTGAATATGCAGACAAATGTATTGTAACAAATAGCACACCTGCAGGTGGGGGATCGGGAAAAAATACACCTGCTGGTACCCACTACATGTGTATCGTAGGAGGCGACTAATGAATGAACCACTGCATAATTTGGGATTTGCTTTGGTGTCCTCTATTTGGGGACATAAAAGCGATCAAAATAAGTCTGCTACACCCATTGCAATATTTGGGATCTTTATCTGTCTTTCTACTTCTAACCACCTTTTATTTCCTAGCGCCTTGCTTGGCGACACATCGCTTTTGCTTTAATGTTGAGCGTTCTCCCCGGTTAGGAAGGCAATGGGTATGTCCCCATGCCGGGACATACCAAAGTACTTACAAATGGTGTTGCTATTCCCTGCTTAACGTTTAGCATTTGGGGGAATGGCAAAAACTTGTTCAACCGTTGTCAGTATAAAGTGACTGGGCGAAATGTTGTGATGGGTACATGTTATTTCAGTGAGATGACACTATAAAGACGGCAGCATATCCGCGCTATCACAAGGAGGCAAGCACAACAACATACCCTGTTTCCTGCATACACACGCGCAAGCACGCATACACTACACACATGGAGGCACGTCCTTAAATGACCTTAGCTGTGAAAAGGACGTTAAACAAAATTAAACCAAACCAAACCAAACGAACAAATTGTGAATAGTTGGACCATGTTATTTTACCCAAGTGTGAATAGTCGGACCACTGTATTTTACCCAATTGTTAATAGTTGGATATCTGTAGTGTACCAAAGTATTAACAGTTGGACAACTTCGATACATCTTAGCGTAAATATTTGCATTGTATCGAAGTGTGTATCTTTTATTACAATGCTGCTAAAGATTGGAATTCTTTACCAGAAAGTATCAGGAAGATCAAGAGTAAATCATCATTCAAAGTTGCGTTCAAAAAACATCTTTTTGAAAAACTAAAAGAGAACAGGATCATATATTTGTATTTTATTGACGTAATATGTTCTATATATATGTTTGTGTATGGGTGTACGTGAATATGTGAGTGTGTATGTGTGTATGTGTGTATGTGAGTGACACAATATGGGTGCTGTACTTCAATGTATTATAAGTTACAACCTATATATTAACATCAGTTTCAACATAAAATGAAGTTATCTTCAAAATATAATAACTATAGTAATTTTTACTTAAGTAGTGTGTATGAACCCCAGTAGAAATAAGCTACAGGGCCTTGTTTTAAGGGCAACATGTATTTTAGTTATTTTATTTTTCGTAGGAATAGTCATTACCTATCTTGCAATTTATAAAAGCGTGATAAATGTTTTTAGAGACTTATATAATTGTACATTAAGATGTTTTATAATGTAATCAGCCATATAAGTTATTAGTGCCAAAACATTTATTGGGTATTGTATGAAATTGTTATGTTGTTGTACCTTTTTACCAAATAAACTTGAATTGAATAAGTATGAGAACCTGGGTAAAATCTCGCCTGTTACATTTCCAACATGTAAGAGATAAGCAATTAAAATTGCTCAAAATTATACAAATTTTGATTTGAATTGATATTTATACAATTCACTTTATTTCAAAATAAAAATGCTAAAGTTAGTGTTCTGCATAGAATGCGCCCATTTATACCAGACAAGTTCCCCGCGAGGAGCCCCATAGAGCAAACTTTGCACTCCTTTTATCCTGTCGCATCAGAGAAATAGTGCTTAAATATATGATTTTTGTATAACTTATAAAACCACAAATCTTACCAGGAATAAAAAGCGGCGATTCATCGATCAGAAAAACGTAATTGTTATGGAAATAATTTTAAAATTGCTTTTGATTTGTATAAATTACAGTAGCGCGTAGATATTCAGCTGCGGATGTTGAAGATGGACGCTGGATTTCAAAATAAGAGATGAACGTTAGGTAACTAAGAATATATTTCTAAATATAATTTATAAACGAAACACTGCTCAAATAGTACAAATATTATGTTTTTTGTCTGAATCATGTTGGATTTCAGGATAGCTGGAAAAACTAATGGTGTCAGTAAAAAGTGTATGACGTCTGTCGTGGATCTTCTTGAGCGGGAAATACAAAGTCTTCGCTAGGCATGCTACGGATTTAACGATGTTAGAGTTTGCGTTACTATTCAATACAACAGTGAACACATGTGTGATATTCACATTGCCATGCAGGTGTATACACCGGTATGTACTTACAACCGGAAATATTGCAATGTATTATCACGGACTTGGGAGAAACGTCAAACAAAGTCATTTTGGCATGGATAGACGAACCACAGGGACACGCAACTACTTATTATAGTCTTACAGTAGCTGGGTACGTTATAACCTAATACTATTAGGTAATAACGTACCCAGCTACTGAAAGCCTAAAACAAGTCAATATTAATAATAGTTGCGTGCCCCTGTGGACGAACCAGAACACATAACAGAAATTTATACAATTTTGTTAAGCAGACGATGATTATGAAATGTCATTCCACCCAGACAAATGTAACATGATCATCCTAAAGTATTACTAATAACTTATTAACATACAGGTAGAAAGTCACTTACTGACTGTCACTTAGTCTACAGAGAAGCAACACATAGAAACAAATATATGAAGTAGGACGAGGTTTAGTGATAAAGATACAGTAGTGCCGTCCCTGGGGCGCGAACCTGCGACCCTTGGCTCTCCAGCCCAATGCTCTACTGTTGAGCTAAAGGGAAATTCCCTTCAGCTGACGCTTAAATTGTAACTGTAGGTCAACCTAATCAATTCCACTGTATTTTCTCGCCTAGTATGATTGGTTAAAGTTCTGTCAATGAGCATGCAGCTAGCTAACTCGAGTCAGACCACTACAAATTTATATATCTGCTCATGCAGTTTGGAACCACTACAACAAAGATATAAACAATATTGAAATGGTACAGAGAAGAGCGGTCATATTCATCACCCAAACACAGAAACACTTCCAAAGTTTATAATATTAATAATAATAATAATATACAGCATTTATATAGCGCCCTATATAATTTGTAAAATTACTCTAAGGCGCTTTACAACATATGGATAATAGTAATGGTTATAATTGTGAAAACAAACAACAAAGGCTTGCAATCACTTTCATACATTTATCAAGCAATGTGCACATAATTGAACAAATAAAAGGGTGGTATTTACATGACGTCTTTGCAAAGAATCTAAAATGCAGACGTGAAGAAGTGAGGTTTTATGTCCCTCTTGAACTTGGGCCAGGGTATTCGACTTCCTAATAGCAGATGGTAAGCTATTCCACAATGTAGCCGAAACCCTCCCAAAGCATCTGTTTCCATAGGTCACAGTACGAGATTTTGGGACACACAACAAATATTCTGACTCCGACCGCAGTGATCTTGACGGCTGATACAGGGTAACAAGTTCCTGTAGGTACATGTACTGAGGAGCTGTTCCATTCAGTGCCTTGTATGTGTATACTAGAATTTTGTACAGCGACCTGTATCGTACTGACATTATAAAACACCTAAACTGGTTCTCCTTAGAAGACAGAAGGAAATGCATGCAGCTTATTTCAATTTCAACAAATTTTATTGATAATCATGACCAATTGGATTGAACATCAGGCTTAAAGCCTATATTAGTTCTTTCCATATTACAACACATTTTATTCAAATAATATCCGGTAGAAATGGAAATTATGTAATATACAGTAAGATTAAGTTTATCATATATTTTGACATTTGACTTATTATACTTTTTTGTAATTTGATTTTAAATTTTGCAATGTTATAAAAATTTAATACATGCTGATATATACAAAGCAATTGCATAAGGGATAAGTGCCGAATAAACCCCCGAGTTGCTGACTGTAAAGTCCATGGGTTCTTCATTCTCTAGTCTTCCACTCAGGAAATGATTGCACACATAGCTTCCAGCCGCACATGTAAAAAGTGCATGTTATTTCTTCAATGTTTACGTTAGACGAAATCCAAACAATATAAAGGAAATGAGCTTTTAAAATGTATATCAATCAACTATGCTTCTCACAAGTCATCGGTGTTCATCAAGGTACACAGCTCTGCAGTATATATATTATCATATTCAATACCAGTGCATGTATATATACCATTTGACATCTACAATTACTGAAATATAACTTCAAAAATGTAATCATTCATCCTCCATGTATGGGCATATACCACCTTAGCATGCGGCTAATGTTACTGGTACACTAAATAAAGCACAACAAAATGAACATTTGAAAAGGACTTTGTACCTCCAACCTGCCTTACAAGACATGCATATTAGTCATTAGTATACATATCAAACTTTCTCATGTAGAACACCGGGGCCCACTTGTATAAAACATCTCAAAGTTAAGGAAAAACTCCAGCAATGTCAGGGTTAGACACAAACTCTTTTTGCTTGGTAGTCTCCAGAACTGGTTGAAAAGATTATTTACTAGTCCTTCTTCAGTTTAACAAGTCCAAGATTTCCTGATAAGGAAACATTGCAATCTACAGCACGAAACATCAAACATAATCGACTGTAGGGGACTTAAAATAATTAATGAAAAATTTTGACAACTATCTTGGAATAGATCTTATTTTAAGCTGGTTTCTAAATTTTAAAAAGAAATATTCTTATTCTATAATCATCTGAATTTCTTACAAAACATGTTTTTTACTCACTTGGATCTGCCCACCAAATTTCTTGCTGTATAGTTGTGCAGGATTATGCCAACGGCCCTTAGTATATAGCTGTCCCATTTCTAAAGCAGTAGCATCTCCGCCAAAACAAAACAAAATGTACACAAAAGCTTACAATTTCATAATTGGAGCACTAGCTAATATGCAGATACTGAAAAATTGTCTTTTGTAGTAAATATTGAACACTTTCCGTAGCCCTGACACAAGTCTAGCTCAGGTTTTGGACTAATGGAATTGTAACCTCTTCACTATCTTCTCAGAAGATACAAAAAGGACATAATTGATCATCCTCAAAAATCTGTTGGTGAACAGTAACTTCAAAACTTTCTTTGTTGTAGGTGCAGTACTTAGGAAAAGATGTCAGGATTTTTAGATTCCCCAGGAGGTGCTGGGTTTGAGAGGAGGTCAAGCTTCAATGTTGGCGCTCCCGCTGCCCAGGGTTCCAGGGGTAGACGGAGAAGTACAATGGGAAGTGTTCTAATGAACACCGAAACAATCAAAGAAAGACAGGTATAAAAAGATAACGCATGGTCATATTGCACTGTTTACCCAGGAAACAGAAACAAATATGATGCAAACCCTAATTGCTTAGGGGGTACCGGATAAATGTTGTATTTTTCTAAAAAATAAAATGTTTTCAAGCAGGTTTTTGATTAAAGTAGCAGTCTAGTTTTTGTCATGGTGAAGAAAATGGATTTATTTGGTGAGCTCCAGTAGATATATAGTTAACTTGACAAAACAGGGAAATATAATACTGGTACTTTTATGTACATACCAGAACAATGATTTTGATTTTGTTCTGGGAGCTGTTTGTTTTAGAACCTATGTGTCTAAAATAGGAATCAAAACATGAGTCCCAAAATCAATTAATAATATAGGTCATACATTAATTGGTCTCAATAAACAATATACAATTAAACATTTTTCTATGTCAAAAGACATTTTCAGACGCCCTATCTTTCTCTCTGTTAGAATTACATTGATGGTGTATGGTGTCTCTCCAACTGCTTTAATTGACGTTCAAGAGTTTGAGATTTGGAGCAGGCCTGAAAAATGATTATATTACTCACAAGTTTGACATTAAACTATATTCAAATTACATTTCTGCCTACAGCTAGATAACGGGTTTTCCTAGGTGCAATTTACTACCATTTACCGGTAATGTCTTTTTTTATCCGGTAGTGTTCCCCTTAAAAAAACGGTAATTTATCGGTAAGTATTTTACATAAAAAACCGGTAACATGATTTGTATCACATAACAAATAGAACCTGCTAATTGTTTTCCGTCGGAATGTACAGCATTTTATCGTCGGAAACATCGTAATCCGAGTCCGGGCTTAACACTACTGTTTCATTATCAAAGCGTCCTAGCATCCGTGATCGATTAAAGGGGAGCAACCCTTTCCATGTTAATTTTGTTATTAAATCATGTTAGTAAATACCGACCGACTATTAACCATGTCTCACAACTCAAAAGCATGTCAAACGTCCCAAAAAATCGGAAGCGAGATTCAAGGGGTTTCAAAAGATATCTTCAATCTTTACAAAGACTAGCGTAGCAGTGTCTGTGGCAATCGTGGGCACAAATGTTACAATTACTTCAGCAACACCACTTGCAACGGAGCCCTTCATTGACCCCGTTCTCGCCGATAACAGTTTAAGTGTCCAGTCCGGGTCCGTGGTCAGTAAGGAATCGAAAAAGACCAACAGCACAGGTCAGTCTAACTTCCAGTCTAGCACTAAGTCTGACCGGCGAGCCTTTCACTCCGATACATACGAAACATGTATACAAATGGTTGCACTATTGCATAAACAAACACAGCTACATGTGCAAAGTCTGTTAACATTTTGGCTGTGAAAACACTTTCACAAAGGGGACAGTTTTGGGCGACCACCCCACTCGTAATTTGGAATCGCATGCTAAGAGTAAAGTGCACCTACAAGCACTGGAAGCACAGGCCTCAAGATCACGCCTCCTTAGAACACCAGCCTGAGCAGGGGACAAATTAGAAACTGAATATAAATTTCCTTTTTTTTTTTTATTGTATTATTATGAATTTTGCCCCCCCCCCTAAAAAAGATAAATATGTGCTATTTAAAGGTTATATCTGATTTTTTGTGTGAACAGTTTTGTTTGTGTCTATTAATAGTCTCCAGGTTTTATCTTTACGTCCACACTATCAATTTTTGTTTGTGCTAACATTCTTATTGCTGTGGTATTGCCGAATATTATATAACCTTTAAATTCCTTTAATATCAAAAAAACAATAGGTGACATTGTGTGTTTTGCCAAATAATGACCCATTGAATGGAAAACAATTTGCAAGATATTGATGTTTCAATAATGAACAATTTTCCTCATTTTTGTTCTCAAGAGTGCTTAAAACCATCTCCGGTCATCTAGAATTAGATGTAAAGACCTAGGAAAACAATAGGAGTATTTTTGTGTCATCTTATGATTGATCAAATCATCAATCATAAATCGTTTCAGAAATGGTGATGTGCTATCATAAATTTTGAAGTGATTCTCAACACAACCAGTGTATTGCTGAAAACAAATGAACTTTTAAAAAGGAAATTAAGTTTATGAAATAAACCTTACTGATTGTGAATGAAAGTAACTCTTCATTCAGTTGGGACATAATCAGTGTTTCTGTTGTGTTTTGAAAGAAGAATATTTTAAGAAGACATGCATTAGTTTTTTAAACCTGTAGTTTAATTATTGTGTTGTGAACAAAATGAAATTATCCTCAAGTTTATTTCTACACAGCAAAAAGCTCGAGACATGAGGGATGTGAGGCGGTCAAGACTACAACCTCCCCACAAATATGTGTTAACAATAGTAGCTAACCACCTGAAACTGGACTATGGGGCGGTCGAGGACTTTGTCCTGGATTCTGAGAGAGTAAGTATTATCTTAATATCAAACTAAATATTATCACTGTGTTGTATCTTTGAGCAAGATACATGTACTTTACTCTGCTTGTTCCAGTCTACTCAGCTGTAAATGAGTACGTGGTTTGGCAGTGCTAGAATGGTAGAATGCTAGCTGTGAGTGCCGGAATGGCAGCATCGACTGTATGCTCCCCAGGGAGCTGAGAAAGATATCGGCTGGTTGCAAAGGCCCTATAACCACGGATAATAATTTGTGAACCGCTTTGAGACTTCACCTACCAACTAGGTTGTGATAAAGTGGTACATTGTATATAAGACCCTCATATCATTATTATCATTATTAATATTATTTTGAATGGAGAGCTATTGCACTACTTCTGAGGTATTTTGATTTTGTTTTATTTGTTGATTAATAGATTGATTTCAGTGAGACTTTGCACACATGATCAGTTCATCATGTAGTTGTGTGCCATGAACATTAATGGTATTAGCCCATTTAAAAGTTAGATATTGTGAGGTAAAGGGGTATTAGTTAGTCTTCGGCTAACAGTTAATTTTCATTTTAGAATACTTTAACAGGTGTTCAATTTTACAAAATAACTGTCTCTTCAATTATAGGCTATCTGAAAGCTGTTTTTTTTTTTTAGTAAAATATGAGTCGCTATAGCCACCTCAAATATTCAAATCGACGTTGTCTTTGACCTTTAAGTTTGTTTGATGTTTTCATTTTGCATTCGTTTTTGTCGACCATTTGTTGGCCCTAAAGACCTTTCCTGTGTTGATGGTCCGTTAAGCATGTAATAATAGTAATTTTAACTATTAAACCTAAAGCCCAACGACAGTAGATTTTATGTAATGAAAGTTTTTAATATTTACTATAAAATATATAGACTGCCCAGAATTAATCAAAATCTGCCTGCAGACTTGAACCCAAAATTTGAAGATATACGCTCCTAATCAGATGATATTAATCAAGTTCATGCCAATACCAAGGTTTTGATTTTTGTGTTTCTTGTATACTGCTGTAGAAGTGTTTTTTTTTTTTTTAATGCCCATAGAGATGAATCTTTGAGTCCTTTGCAATTTGTTCCCCTTATTTTTATGAAATGCAAACACTGCTTTCACCTGGTTCTGAGCAGGCAGCTGCATGTACCTATATTTGATAATAACAAACATGATACCACAGTGGGAATTTACTTACTCCAACAGTGTTAGAGGTTTACACGGCGAGAAACTTTTGACAGGTGCCATGTAACATCACAGTCTGCAAAATCATATCCGACAGTAAAAAGGCTGACCAGTGGCCTCTTAATATGTTATAGGAGTTGGAATTTACTAGGATGTAAGCACTAATTATACAAACTGTATCTGTATTGGTTTCAGAATCTTCAGGTGTTTGAAATGTTTCTACAGAAGGATGGAAGTAGAAGTTTGAAGTTTTACTATCAAGACGGGTCAACGCCGGGCTTGGAAGGTATTTACATGTGATATGCCACATAGAAGTTTTCATATGATGGACTATTCTGCTTAGTTTCAAGAAACAGCTTTTACACCAAAATCCGGGTTTGTTTTTTGTATTTAAAACCCCCTAAAAAACTATTCAACAAATTTCTCAATAAGATTCATCAGTTTGGAAATATGTATATCAAAGTTTTACTTTCTACACAAACAATGTACATATTATATGTGTCAAGCTGGTTCCCGACTATGGTTGACACAGGACTTCCCATAGCGGTATCATCGTACTTCAGTTGGTACACCTGACCTCGGAACATGAAGTATATCGTGTTCATGACAAATGTAAGAATAATGATGATGTTGTCTGCTGATAGGTTTGTTCTCTTCTGGCGTGTCTTGTCTGCTTTTAATCTCTCTAATGATAATAACAATATTGATGGCCATAAAAAATATTGAATTTTGTCTCATCGTTGTACAGATAAAAAATACAAATCGCTCACTCAGTCATAGCTTGACAAAGGGACCAGTCAGTCTTGAAACGTTGCAACACATTTAATATGTACATTGTGTGTGCATTAAAACTTGTCGTTTTTTAAATTCCTAAAAGTCCAGATGAGCTATAAAGATTCGGAGCTTCTTTTTTTACCAGGGTAGATACAGTACCTGTGGTATTGTCATCTTTAATTCACTTTTATTCAAACTGCCTGGAAAAAATATATCGTATTATACATACTTCGAAAACAGAATCTTGTTTCAAAGCTATTTCATTCTGACAATTATTTTCAATTGTTTTGTAATTTATTGTGCCGGAATAGTGGGATACAATTTAATGAGAAATACATACTTTGTAGTTGGTATTATTTGCGGGGGGTGGATGGGTGGGTTAATTTTGCTATATTTGTAGTCATCAAAACTAGTGCCAAATAAATTACCAAGTGAATATTATTACAGTAAACTGTAATTGCCTCTACTGTATACTAAAGAAAATAAAAAGATGTGATTACTTGTTAACTGCTGAATAACCAAGTGAACCAAACTTGGACCAGCTGTCCATGCTGATACATTGTCAACACCAACTTGATTTCACACCCTACCCTATCAGGGTTATTATGAAAAAACACCAAAAAAAATTATGTATGCTTTTATCGAGAGGTAAACAAAAATCAGTGTTAAATTTGTATGTCTGTAACTGTATGGTCATCTGGTGTTTACCTGATTAACTTAGACAGAGTGTACCTATTACCAGTGACTACAAAACTTCCACTACATGGTGTTGGGCTAAATATTGGCCCTGCAAAATCAAATGACTGTACTGAAAGTGATAGAACACTCTACATTCTAATTTCTACCTACCGTAAAACAAAAAAAGAGGAAATACCTCTTTAATCCGTCCAATATGACTAATTTTGAAATAGTCATCAAACAAATCGTGATGAAAATATAAATGTATTGATTTCAGAGTGTGGGCGAGTTGTACAAGGAGTACCTAAAGGCACTGTGGTGCCTCGGGTTCTGGTGACAAGTGGCACAGGAAACGCCCTGCATGGCCAGTGTGTGTACTTCCTGCGCACCAAGACTGACATCAATCTCACCTCGAAAAACATTGATGAGGTAAAGTAAAAATCAGAATAATACAAGAGTTTTTTGATAGACATGATTCATACACATGCACATCAGTGATGATAAAAGTAATTTTCAAGAAAATCTGTAGATTTTAAAATCACAAAGAAATAATACATTAACCATGATTAATTGGGAGTCGTGTATCAGAAGAACATTCACAAGTTAAGGCCATATAAGACTACACTTTTTTGTGTTTACAGAATCTGTGGCCAAAGTGATTTCTACGTGGTTGTTTTTGTTGCTATTTTATTATTGGATTTGCTGGTAACTGGTGTAAATTTCATGTTTAAAGTTCTAACCTGCAGGTATGTTCTGAAAAATCCTATTTCTGTGATGACCGTTAAAAACTTTTACTACTGTGTAGTCTGTACATAAAATCTACTAGCCCTTAGATATTGGGTAAGTGGAGTTTCATGCCTCTGGTTGCATGAATTCAACATGACTTAAGGAACAATTCTAATTTATTATCACTGACACTTATACTCTACAATAATCAAGAAACTTAACGCTGTTGGTAAATTCAACATTCAACACAATTTTTCACATCGGATCATAATAAACATTACATTATCTAGAGGAGAGAAAAAGACTGCTGTTGTCATGTTTTTACCTGATTTCTGTGACCTACAGGAGGTAACATTTGGAGTGCTGGATGTGTCTCAGGAACCAGGTGTGTTGTCTGCTTTTGAGAATGTCATGTCCAGTATCTTCCAGCCATCCTTGAAGCAGCTGGAGAACTGGGGAGACCTACAGACTACACCCCAGGGCAGGAAGTCCAAGAAGCTTTTCCTCGACAATTTTGAAAACTTTTTGCAATACCTTAGAAGTATGTAGACTAATTGTAATTGATTTTACAGTTGAAGCCTTTATAAATGTATTCTTGCGCATCACTATAGGCTACTTTCCTAGTTCCGTAGACCTCTATTAGGAACATTGGCTTACCAATGCATCCCTGACATAACTTTGAAACCAAATTTCATAGAACTTACTGGATATTTGTCTGCACATACACATATAAGCTGAGCCTCCATTGGGCGTCACATCCATATTGGCAAGTGACGGTCCTAACTTTTCAATGGAAAATCAATATATACATATTTACAGATAACTGATTGGGGTACCCACTTCTGATTATCATACACCCATCAACATTTTTGACAGGACATATTATGGTATGAAGATTGTCCATTTATCTGTCTATCCTCACTTTGCTTTCCGCAGGATAATTAGCTTAAATAAATATTGTTCAATTTGGATGAAAATTGATAAGCATGTACAATATATGAAGAGTGAGGCTAAGTTATGAGTTTGCTGTGCAACCCTATATATCCCAGGTGCCCAGGCCAATGCTGGGGAGGGTGTACACCTGGTCAAGTGTACCAGTGACAAGGTGAACCTGGCTGAGATTGTAACTATCAATGACTGTATTGATGTGGCAGCCAACCCAGAGGTGGTGAGCGACATGGAGGACCTCGCCATGGCCTGGTGCAAACAGATTGAACAGGTACCGTGTGTAATAATTGTAGATTGCTTCATTGAAAGTATGAAGTACTAATCTTGTTTCAAGAAATTTAAATAACACAAAGTTTTCTCAGATTCTCTCTCCGTCCAAACCACTGTATATTTGCGGTTTGTAAAATAAAAAAAGGCATACGGTAAAAAGATATTACAACATGTAACTGAGAAGAAGATTACCGTACTCATAATTGGTAATTGTGTCTGGTTGTAAAACAAAATCAGCATGACTTGTAATAACTATTCTGTTTTTGATATTATTTCATTATTGCAGGTTTATTGTTATATTTACCTACCAGGTATATATTACCATCAAGTTTATTTCGATATTGGGACAAGATGGTTATTATAAAGTTATATAAAGCATGTGTGAATTGAATGGTGTGTAAAGAAACATAAATTGATATATTTGATTGCACATTTACAGATTTTAGCGGAAAGTGACCAGATGAGGAAAGAGGCTGATGACACCGGTCCCCTGGCCGAGCTTGACCATTGGAGACAGCTGATGGCAAGGTTTAATGCCCTTTTGGAACAGATCAAGAGCAACAGGTGTCGAATGGTCATCAACATCATCAACATTGCAAGGTCTAAAGTACTAAAGGTAATTTCTACTAATACTGCAACCTAAAGAACAATAATCCATCCCCCCCCCCCCCCACAGAGTGAACAATATGTTTGCACTCCATACATCACATTATCTCACTATATACAGAGTTATGGCCCTTTATTCATCATAAATCACTTTACCAAGTGCATACCTCCCCATACTGGGGGAAACAAAAGTCCTTCAAAGTTGTAGTTGTTATACCCTGCATACGGTTTAATTTAGCAAGTATGGAAATGGCAACAATTGGTTCACCCTTTTTCAATATTTGACCTACACAAAACCTACAGGCACAGGTCATTGAAATGAAGTCATTTTACATTTATGTTAATACATAATGCAATCATAAAATTAACATGCATAAATGTTCTAAATAATATACATGTTTGTGTGCAAACCAAAATCAAAGAACATTGATCTTTTATTGGGTTTCTCTATTTCTTTGCCAAAATTGTCTACTTTGATGCAAGCCTTGTTTTGGTAGAAATGGAAAGAGCTGGACAAGAAGATCACAGACAATGCTAATGAAGCCAAAGACAACGTGAAGTTCCTGTACACACTGGAGAAGTACTGTGAGCCACTGTATCGATGTGACCCGGTATGTTTACTGTCTGGTGTTAAAACCAATCTTCTAGATAAAAACGGAAAAACCAACCAAATAGTTTCATCCCAGCATTCAAAACAAACTTTCATGTATTTTGTGTCATTCATGTTAACTTTCCCACAGGTGCGTGTCTAGTGCCTGTTAATTATCCATTCAATGCCTGTACAATTTCATATGCCCAATTTTGATGCTGTATAAAACCATCCTGCAAAACTTTGATATCGTTTATTCCCATTGAATATCCTTAATGAGATACCCTATCAAAAGTTATTGGTTGTTTAAGCTCAAAGGTCTATGTCATATTAAATATTTTGTTGTTCAGAAATATAAAACAATTGTGTTCATTCTGCCCTATTGAAAGGCATTATCCAGCGAGTTGCAGGGCTATGAGTTAGCTGAATGTTAACATTTATAAAACCATTTGTAAGGCCAGGTAAAGTATCTGGTAGCTACACTTTACTGGGTCTAGTTTTAGTTTTACAGATATCTGGGCTAATCAGGGTCTGTGGTGAATGTAAATCACTTGATATTGACACTAATCCCAGAATTAGTTTTTAATGAAGAAATGTAGATTCAGTTTGAAATCTGTGCCTGGATATCGCCATGAAAAAGGAAGTTTTCCCTGAAGGTGTTGTGCTGTTGATATCATTACACTGTATCTTAAATATCTAGTATATTTGTTGGCAGGTATCAATGACAGACTCCTTACCTGGTCTTGTCAATGCTATCCGTATGATCCACAGCATTTCACGCTACTACAACACCTCTGAGAGGATGACCTCCCTTTTCATTAAGGTAAGTCAGGCTACAGGGTATATGTGTAGGCCATGAAAAGGCCCTAAAATAAGTGTTGACCTTGAAAAGCCTTAAAAGTCCATAAATTAAACAAAAAATGTCTCTGAAAGGTCAAAATGATCCTGAAGCTTGAATTTAGATAAATATTCAATCATGAAAGTATGGTTGTTTATAATTTTGGTGGTTTTGGATTGTGACTGTTCATAAAAAAGAAGTTCAGAAAAAAGTTACCTAGGTAAATATTTGTTACAACTTTATTTCTAGAATTTCCAGACACGAATAATTTTTGAGATTTTAGATTTTGTTTTGGTTTTTCCAGTGTACTATTCCACTAGTCCAAACCAGGAAGTAGTTTATGTTATGTCAGAGCTATTGAAAATGTTCAATATTAAATAGGATAAATAAGTTGGGCCTGTTGAATTTTTCAAATCTACCTGCAGGCAGTAATTAAGAAATTGTACACCGTGTGGTTATGGCCTTTGATTTACTGTTCCAGTCTACTACTCCTATATATAGTGACGTAGGGGCAGAAAAAGCGCAACCAGACCGGGTTTCAAACCCGGAACCCTCCAAACTCCTGACAGAGCTCTATCAATTCAGCTATATGGTCGCCGACGAATGACCAAGTCGAGTTCCACTACAATAGTATAAACTTGCAAAAAAGTATCTATTGTATGAATGTTATAGGTTTAATATAAACACCATGCTGTGTTAACCCTTTTTAGGGAATTGTGGCTCTTTCATGTAAATACACACTCCTTCACATTAAATTGGTGTCGTGTTATTTCATGCAGCCCTTATTGACATGGAATAGTAACTGTATTATACTCTAATTGCCTATTTCAGATGTACAATTTAAGTAGTGAGGTTAAGGTAATGGACAAAAAATATGGTATGGATGGAGGTCATTCAACCACTAAACGATGTAGTTGACATGTTGTCAGAAAAAAATGAAGTACAAAGTTTTATTTAAAAAATGGCAAATACTTTGCCAAAAGTCAAAGCAGGATTAAATATGCCCTATATATCAAACATAATGTTTAAGATTCAGCATTTGAGTGTAGTGTTTAGATAAATGGGAAGAGATTAAAAAAAAGCTTGGCTTGAATTATCCTCATGTGACTAGCATTGCTGATTTTTCATTTGCGCAGGTGACTAACCAGATGGTGACAGCCTGCAAGAACTACATCACAGACGATGGTGTGAGTCGGATCTGGGACCAGCCCCGTCAGCCTCTCATAGAGAAGCTGGAGAACTCGGTCTCCCTTTTTAGAAACTACCAGGCAATTTTTCAACGCACCAAGAAAAAGATTGAAGCCACACCTGGCGAGAAGCCATTTGAGTTCTCAGAGATGTACATTTTTGGGAAATTTGAGACTTTCTGCAAACGTTTAGAAAAGGTGTTTTTTTGTTCATTTTTTAATTAATTATATGTACAGTATATATGATATGTACAGTATATATGATATGAAATAATTGTTTTGGTAGACTTTGGTAGAAGGTTTGTTTAAGACTTAGAACAGGGAACCCTGATTGTAAATTTAAGTAAAGAATTCAGATAACACAGCAAAATTACAGAAGATAAATAATATTTCTGAAATTTCAGTACATTCTACAACACAAATCCTTTTTGTGCACATTCCAAAGTAATATTTGTGTATTTCATCTCATCTGCATGACAAACTTAAAGTGATTGAACTGAAACTGGTACTCATCAAAACAACAGCTCCACCTGTCAGAGTGTCGTGGAGGTGTAAGGCAATAACTATGGTTATGATGGTCATAAATATTAATAAAGGTTTGATTCAATCATAATCATTCTGAAGACTTTCTGCTGCCAATTACTAAGTACAAATAAGCCAAACTGACAACCACAGTTTTACAATACATTATGTGTCCAGATCTGATTTAACCCTTTCACCCATAGGTAACTTTAGTAGACTCTACCATGCATTGATATGGACGAGTCCATTATGGTCTACAGTGGTGAAAGGGTTAAGTAACCTTTTGATATTTGCAGATTATCACCCTGCTGAACTCGGTCCAAGCGTTTTCAGCCCTCTCCGAGTCTAAGATTGAGGGCATTGAGTTATACTCGTCAAGATTCCTTCAGATTTATTCCAGCTTGAGGAAAAAGCCATATGACATTCTGGATCATCGAAAACTGGACTTTGACAATGACTTTGATGACTTCAAAAGACAACTTGGAGATCTAGAGGTATTTTAATATTTTTAAGCCGCTCTTGGCGAGAGCCGAGCGGCTTATTAATTCTGTCCAGAGAACGAAATGACGGACCCACTTCCGTTCGGGGTGCGTGCGCATAATTCAGTATTGCATGCTTCCGCTATATAGTTTCGGTATCGTAAATAGAAAGTAGAATCTCTGACACTCACCTGTGGGTTACATAAATTCTTCTGATACTCTTCTCCAAATAATAATCCATACTTTAAATAATTGCTGAAAACAAAATGTTTATCTCCGGTGCATTCTACGAGTGTTGTGGTG